TATCTAAAACCCAAATCTGAAACCATACTTTAAAGAGTACCTCCTCTATTTCTATCTTCACAAATGGGATGATAATCTGTCAGGTTCCTAAAATATAAAAGCCATTCTTAACTTTTTTCTCTCCTCTAATTAATTACTTTCCATGTTCATTCATTTCTGCCCCTTAATATCTTTTGAATCTCTTTGTTTCATGTTTCCTTAACTTGAAGTGATTCATGTTAATCATTGCCATCACTTCCTGATAAAGTTGTCTTTTGCATCTCACCAAATCTAGGTTCATGTAATTGGATGAAGAGTTATTTTCATATATTTAATGATACAGCTTAAAGCTTGGTTTTCAAGATACATTTGCCAATATATAACTCATTTTATGAGGATGCTTTTATAAAAATTTAAGTTCTTTAAGTGTGAATTAAAAGGTTTTTTAAAATGGTTTTATAGAAGAAAGCATATAATATTTGCGTAAGTATAGTATACTGGAATCCCATAGAAGTATCTAGACATATTATAAAATCTTGATATGTTGATATTCATAAACACTTGGATATCATAGCAAGCAACAAAACAGGAGGTTTTTTGGAATTTCAGTAATATTGCTAACTAATTAAAAAGCAAAGGAAGCCATGATACAGTCCAGGTGGTCAGAGAAAACATCAGAAACTTCAACAAAGCAATCAGTAAGATATAACAAATATTAACAATTTCTGTGTGGATATTCACAACATACGTAGACAAAGTTTTGTACAGATAGGCACAAAGCATTCAGCAAAATAATAAATTCGAAGTAACTCTAATACCATCTGCATATAAGCAACAAAAGCAAACATTGCATTTAATACAAGTTCACAGCAGGCTGCAGGAATAAAAATCAAATGTGTATCAGAGGGATATACCAATCAACAAAAATATCCATAAGGATTATAAATGTTTTAGTCTTCATTATTATAGCATGAAACATTGCCATCTTTAAAGCCGCCTAAATTTTCATCTCTGAAACCTGAAAACTTACTGTTGAATTCACATGACTTTTTTTTTTTTTTTTTAAACTACTAGCACTCTTTGACTTTGAAACTATGTCACCACTACCTTCAAGCAATAAATAATTCTTGATACCTTCAAAGGTCATTACTGTGGAATTTTCATGACCCTATACTTACAAAAGCAAATAAAACATTTTCTGTTTGGGCAAGCCTCAGAAGAATCAGAACATTTTATAGCCTCTAGGGACATTTGTCTCTTATGGTAGATCACCATGGAGTGGCCTTCAGATCTTTTTCAGATGCAGAGATAAATTTGCCTACCCTGTGTGGTCTTTCTCCCTCAGGATGTTTTCTTCTGGCCCAAAAGTATACACTGGAGGCAAGTGTGGAGTCTTCTCAGCCAACAACAGGAGCCCCTCCAGAGAGGCAGGACAGGAGCATGGTGGCTCCTGGTGCTGGGGCTTTAATCCATAATACAGGCACACTAATTGGGTGCCCCGTAATTTTTTGGTAACTTTTTAGAGGGATAGAGTGTGAACACCTCTTTTAAATTGGCACTTATATTTTCTTTTTACTGGATTGGTAAATTCATCAAGGATAAGGACTAAACCTCACCTCATAATTTCCTGATGCTTATTTTTTAGCAAATATTATTATTTACTTTCAACATATTGATAACTTTTGTGGATTTAATGTAAATGTTTGAATAGATGCCTATGCCTAGAAATATAGTAATTGGATGGAATTAAAGTTATTGTTTTTGTTTGCCTTTTTAAAATTAAGAAAACAGTTTTCTCAGATATGTTCAAGGAATATTTTATTAAGAATCTATTAGGGTCTAGGACCTATTTGAGGTTCTATCTTATTAGTTATGGCATTAGCCTGTAAGTTATAGGTCAGGACACTGAGATTCTAACAGGTAAATTGACTTGATTTGTTTACATAGGTAGTTAGTGTCAGAATTGATTAATTTAAACACTTTTTGATTCTTAGTTTGAATTTGATTCTAATTTTAATTAATATGCTGCATACTTTTCTTATTAATAGTATACTTATTGAGTAGTATCATAGAAATTGAGGTAAACTAATAGAGTGATTTGTTTGTGTACAGTGAGAGAATCAAAGAAGCTGCTGACCATAATTATGAAAAATATTATAAAAATTAGTAAAAAAGAAGGAAAAGAATTGTTTTTGTATTTTGATGCATCATTAGAAATCAGTAATGTGACTCAAAAAATTTTTGGTGCAAATAAATATAGGGTAAGTTTTTAAACTCCTTTTAATATGTATTTACTATTTTTGGAAACTCTGGGGCTACAGGCTTCATTGCTTTTTTTTATTCCATTTTAGAATTCTTAAAGTGACACATAGATGTTCTTTAAATTTGTACTGTGGAATAGCTATCAGCTTGTTAGGCATATTCTTTGAGATACCTATTAGAAAGTATTTCAGATGACAAAATTAGCAGCAAAAGGGCTCAAAACATTCTTAATGAATTCCTGCCAGGTGTTTAAAAAGTAAATTGAGAAAAAGCACTATTTTTAAGATATTAAACATTGTGAGAATTACACAAATGATACTTCAGAAGAAGTAAGTAGGCATAGGCAAAATGAATTATAGAAGTTGAGGAAAGAGAATGCTTATTAAGAGTCAGGTTTGAAAGTAAGGCATTATTGTGAGATGGGGCTTGAAATGGCCTTTGAGTTGAAGATAGGATTTAGATGAGATACTTTCCAGGATTGTGGAAGACATTATAAGCTAGATATTTAACTGAGACTCTAAGGTAAAAATTTTTGTGCCGTTTTGGGGAGATACTCTATTGACAAGTTTGGATAGTGCAAAAGATTTGTATTAAAGAATATGAGAGAATATATTTGTGAAGAGCCTTTGTACAGGGAACAAAGTGACAAGCTACAGAGATTGTGGTTAGTGGGGAGTAATTGAAGTGGTCTGAGAAGGTATTTATATATGCGAAGTAATGATCTGGGATAATTTGGCAATTTTGGAAGAAAACAGGAAAAAATTGCATTAAGTGGAAACAAACTGGTATTGGGAAAACTGCACAGAAAATGAAGAAAATGACATCACTTTGAATTAACTTAATTTTAGGAATTTACCAGAAAACAAAGTATTTCAGTTGCCAAAACATCTGTGCATATACTTTTTGATGCAAGTGGATCACAGGTATGTCTCTGACTTACTTGATTTTTGTCATTGGGCAAAGTTTAACTGTAAATAAGAGACCAGTAATAAAGTTGATGAGGGCGAATATATAGAAAACAAATGGTCTCAATATAAACAGTGCCCCCATAAAATATATATGATTTTTAAACATGTTATTATTGATAATTTTAGTATAGAGAG